AGGTGTTTGTATTTCTCTTGCTGGAGGAGGACTCTTTTAGGCATGTCATTGTAAAGTCTGACCAATACCCAATCAGCAGAGTAGAACTTTTGGTAGTGCTAACTCAGTAGTTCCATCAGTATGATCTTTATAGTTTTAGGAAATGAACATAATTTGCCCATGTTTCTTTGAAAAGATTTATATAAATAAACATGAGCCAATATAACATTTATTCTGTATTAATAATCAGTACATAAATTAATTCAGCTTTAAACTATTTTTTCTGCAGAGTATTATTTCTTTAATAATAGCATCTGATCCACAGTAATCTAGTACTAATTTCAATGAGAAAAACAAAATGGAACTTTCACTTTCATAATAGCTCATCCACTTAACATCTTACAGACAAAGAACTATAAATATGTAACATTATGCAGGCTTTTTCTGCACCCAGCCACAGATCATAATGAATATACTGTTTATATAGAAATTGAATGCTTTCAACCTACTACTATATACTGTATTCAGATCATCGCCTTCCCCATACCAGACAAAATTAATTGTTCTCTCTTTATATTCCCCTATGTGGTACTCATGTTGCTGCATTACTCGTGGCTCTTTGCTTTAACCCTTGTTCCAGTTCCTATTGTCACTGCTTCCTACATTGACCTCTTGGAGGGCAGGAAGCCTGTCCCTGGTATCAGTGTTTGGCATATATTATGCCTAACATGTGTTAAATCAACTTTAATCAGGACACCTAAATTTTATGTAGCTTCTAATAAATTTTCGTAACTAAGGATCATTACAAAAAATTCTTTTCAAAATTATACCATAAAATGTACCATAGGTTGAAATTTTGAATTTTGTGTAATAAGAGACTTCATGTTACACAATAAAATATCATAAGGATTTGAACCTAAAGAACTATAAATCTTAAATCAAGATTTTAAAAAATGCAAAAATGGCAGGCAGAAAAGTCAAATCTGATGTATGGAGTATTAGATGAAATTAGAGAGTAGACTTTGCATACGTCAATAAAGTCGACATTAAAAGGACCTTTTCAAACAATGAGATCCTAAAGCCAACAATTATTTATAAAATTCTACTGTAAACTCCTAAAAAATTCTTAACTATAAAAAATAAGGCTATTTGAAGCTAGAAATTTATGGATGAAATTACACTGGATTGCATACAGAATCCAGTTTACACTGGTGCCTTCTCATAATCCATATCTCTTAAAAGCCTTTAGCGAGCCTATTCACATATACTGGTGAAATAATCTCTCAGAATTAAATCAGAGAGTTTCTAAGTCTCCACTAAATAGTAGACCAATTAAGATCATCACAAACTTCATGCTGTCAAATCTATTACCTTGAAAGAAAATTATGCAGAGAGCTTTTCTGAGGAACTCCATTTGTGCCACATGCTTATTATTCTTTGGGTGGAGGAGGTGGCAGGGAACATAATTTCTGTTTGAAAGTTCTTTTGTTTTCTGCTACCTTTACTTAAATGTTACCAGGTACTATTTTTATATCCTATAAAGTGCTTTGAAAAAATGTTAAGTGAATAGTGCTACATAAAATAGATGAGAATTTTTATATTCTCTGGGTTTATAAGAAGCAAAGTGAATAGTACTTGACTCTTAAAAGGAGGAATATAAATTCAGAAAAAATTAATAAGTATCCAATAAAGTATCCCCCACCTTGTAAAATTCTCAGTTCAAAGAGAAACTGAATCCTAGCTAATAATAAACGTTCATTAAAAGCAGCATTTATACCACAGCAAATTTAAATGAAAATTAATGTGGTATTCTGAAAGCCTTTTATTTTATTTTATTTTATTTTTTTTGAGACAGTCTCACTTTGTTGCCAAGGCTAGAGTGAATGCCATGGCGTCAGCCTCGCTCACAGCAACCTCAATCTCCTGTGCTCAAGCAATCCTCCTGCCTCAGCCTCCCGAGTAGCTGGGACTACAGGCATGCGCCATCATGCCCGGCCAATTTTTTGTATATATATTTTTAGTTGGTCAATTAATTTATTTCTATTTTTGGTAGAGACAGGGTCTCGCTCAGGCTGGTTTCGAACTCCTGACCTTGAGCAATCCGCCCGCCTCGGCCTCCCAAAGTGCTAGGATTACAGGCGTGAGCCACCGCACCCGGCCTGAAAGCCTTTTAAATGATCTTTTTAACATCAAATGGATGTGACTTGAATCAGAATCTATTTATATTCACTTAATGTTTTGCATGTAAAGTCAAATTGCTTAAAATAAATACTATCATAATAAAAGTATTTTATGACTTCTAAGCCATATGATTCTTGCTTATTTCTACAATATAACAATTTGGATCACCTTAGAATTCACTGTAATAGGATTTGGCCATGTAACAGATATAATCAGATTGAGACCAATTAATTTCTGGATTCCTTTTTCTAACTGAAATCCTACTTAACTCAACAGATATTCTCAATGGAAAAGATTGAGGAGAAAGAAACCACGTAAAAGTGAATGCAAGAGTACATCTTATCATAAAAACAATCAATTATAATACATTCTAACCAAAAATATATATATCGAACCACGGTGGAAAAAAAAGTAAAAATCTAGAAACCTTCCAAAATATTTTCACTAACTGGTAAGTGCTGTAGTTTTTGCTTGTTCATGAGAAATTACTAAAAACTAATGATGCAAGTGTATTGGCTTGGAGCCATCCTTGCAGTAAACGAAGACAGGATTCTTCAAAACACTGTAATATGCAGCAACCTTAGGTTTTTAAAAATTGTTCACTTTTAAATATAATATTTGCTGGTAGCTGTCCAAGTCCATTAGCACCACATATAATGAATGAAAAAGAGTATTTTCAGAGAAGATGACTTTTTTTTAAAGAAAAAAAGTTTGAAATTAAAAAATTAGCCAGGTGTGATGGCACATGCCTGTAATCCTGGAAGCTACTCAGGAAGCTGAGGCAGGAGGATCACTTGAGCCCAGGAGTTTGAGGTTACAGTGAGCTATCATCACGCCACTGCACTCCAGCCTGGCAACAGAGCAAGACACTGTCTCTGAAAAAAAACAGTTTGAATGAAAGTATACAATTAAATTGATTTCTTGGGTTATGTGTTTTGAAAGACACACTTTTCATTTTGCTAAATTGAAGGACCCCCCCCCCAACTTATAAGCATGAAGGCAAAAACATCTGGGGGAAATACTTTTTCACTTCAACCAAGAATCTTGCTAATCATGTCCATTATTAGGTTCAATTCCAAAGTCAGATTAGTTTCTTTTGCCAGGTCTCAATAATGGAAGGAAACAAAGATGATTTTATAGGATAAATTAGCACATACTTTCTATATGCAATCCATAAATAATGCAATAATTCACCTAGATCATTTAAAATCATCTAATGTACAGTTTTCCTCCATGGTGAAGCTCTTTAGCAAATACCTTACATCCCATACTTTATCTACTTTCATTACATCATCTGTTTCAAGTATTGACATCATCACTCAGTTTAAACAAATGAGAGACCATCCTATTTGAATCCTAATCTGTGAGATAGGAAAGTGTGTTGTATTATGACCATTTCACATAAAAAATTGAAATAGAATTACCTTTTTAAAAAATATGGCAATTATTGATGAGATCAGATGCTCCCCTTTAAATTACTGAATAAAAATGCAAATGAGCCCTTTTGTTTTCTCTTTTTGAGACAAAGTCTCTCTTTATCACCCAGGCTAGAGTGCAGTGGCATCATCACAGCTCACTGCAACCTCAAATTCCTGGGCACTAGTGATCCTCCTGCTTCAGCCTCCCAAACAGCTGGGTGTGTACCACCATGCCTGGTTGCCCTTTTCATTTTTTGTAAAGTATTAGCTGGATTGACAATAGTGATAAAAAAGTTAATTTTCAATATCTACGTAAAATGCTGTTTACTGGTCTCTCTTAACACATGGCAATAAAAGAATACTGACATTTAAAATACACTGCTTTAGCAATCAATAACTTTTCACTTTCTATTCAACCATGTACATGACTCATTTTGGCCAAGAATAAATAATATTACCACTAAATTATTATGATTTCTTAAGACCTTTACTGCCAGGCTGGCTTTGAATCCACTCTCCCCTCTTTGACAAGTTGAAAAATACATTTCTTAGAGAAGCAACTCTGCAAGATGCATCCTATGTTATCTGTGATAATTTGTTACTTGGGAAATTTCCCTTCTCCTAGATAAATAATAATCCTCTCATTTTTGTTTTTGTTATTTTATTTTTTGTTAACTTTTCAGCAGATAAATCCATGCAGAAATGGATATATACAGGTCTGTTGTGGCAGATGGAAGATGGAGGGGGAAACATTCCCTATTTCTATACTTTTGCACTCAGTAACTATTTGCCTATTTGAAGAAACTTGTGAATGGCTCTTGTAAGGGACTTGAGCAAAACTAGAAAACCACTCATGTTTAATTTCAATATGCATACTCTGAATACTCTGCTGAAATTGGGAAAATGCAATATATTTTTTGAGTTAAGATTACTGCTTAGGAGTTTTAACTATAAATCACACATTCACAAGAGTAGCTCACCTTATTCACCATTTTAAACAACATAAAAGTGCACTGTAAAAACAAATTTTGAAAACTGAAAGTAATGTTAACCTATACACAAAGTTGAATTATCAAAAGGAAACCAGACTTTGTGACATTAGAGGACATTAAGGAGCTTATGGCATACCGTAAATGCTCAATAAATACATCTTCCTTCGCCAAAGCACTCCAATCTGCACATGCCATTTTAGCAACTCCCTATATGTCACTTTGCATTGCAATCTGTGCTGATTTCCTCCAATCCAGAAGTGACTGCATTTCAGTGGTAGAGTTTTATAAACTTGACTTATTCTTTAACATTTCTGGGCTGGAATTGTACCTTTAAATTCCACAGGTTAGCCAGACGCGGTGCACACCTGTAGTTCCAGCTACTCAGGAGACTGAAGCAGGAGGATCCCTTGAGCCCAGGAGTTTGAAGTTACAGTGAGCTATGGCCATGCCACTGTACTGTAGCCTGGGCAACAAAGCAAGACCCTGTCTCAAAAAAAAATCCACAGATAACTCTGTCATTTGTTACTGAGTAAGAAATGCCACAAAAGTGTAAAATAATTCATCATTAGCCTTTTTTTCTCTCATGATCTAAGTCACTGTAGAAGATTGTTTATTTTATTATCATCAGAGGCCATTTCATTAACCAGCTGTTCTATAGACAACTGGATAGCATTCTTGACAAGAGAAGAGGCTGTTTCTATTAAGAGTGTTTCATATTGTTCTGAAGTTCTACCCTCAAAACCACTATCATTAGCAAAAACCCCTACTTGCTCATTTTCAATTGAAATTAAAAATTGCTTAGGGACATTTTTAGATTTCTTAACATCAAATTCACTGATTTCAGTGTCTGTAATAATAATAGCAATTGGCTCTATTTTTTTGCTTTCTTCTGATTTGGGTTTCTCTGCATTGATCCCATTTTCTTCGAAATTGGATTCCTGGCTCAATTCAGTATCTTTTGGCTTATTTTCTCCAGCTACAATCTCTCTACTTTCATAGTCTTTCCAATTTGGTCCACTTTCTAGGATATCGTTACTGGCTTCTTCCGGAATTTGTTGATCTGGGATTGCAGGTGAAAGAGGAACATCAGAAGCCACTGGTTGCTGCTGATCTGTTACTGAGCTTTCAAGCGGGCTTGTTTGCTGGGTTTGAACTTCTTGTTTTTCCTCAATCATTTCAATTTCTTTTTCAATGATTAGAGTTCCTGTTTGAATAGTAGAATGCCCATTATCTAATCCAAGTTCTACTGAAATCACTTTCTCTCCAGAAGTTAGGCTGTTGCTCACATTCGATTCACAAACCTCATCACCATCTTTCTGTGAGATGCCTTCACTTGGATCCTTTGTTAACTGATCATTAAATTGGGTCTGAGTTTGTACATCCACCTGTTTAGGCTTTCCCTGGACTTTGATGCTGCAGTCTGAATCTTCTATAATTTTGGGATGATTACTCCTTTTTGCCCCTCTTGAGAATTTTATGCAGGGAATCTTAAGTCTGGATTTTGCCTTCTTAGAAAGATCGGCATCCTCAGCATTTATATCAGGTTGCACTTCAGCCTCAAATGGCTTTTGCCGCTTTGAAGAATCTGACCTTTTCCTGCGTGTTACAAGATGTTTAATTGAGGCCCAGGCCCCACCTGGGGGTTGTGGCCGATCAGAAGCTCCTGCTTCTGGGGAACACTTCCTTGTCACATCAGCAGCTTCAGAGCTAGCTTTGGGCTTCAGCACTTTGGCTGCCTTCTTTCTTCTCTTGAAGCAAAGCATGGAACCTTTTTCTTCCTGTCTTTCATCCTGAGGAATACCTTTTGTTGATCCTTTCTCATCCTTGTTTTCTACTTGAATTTCAGAAACCGTGGTCTCCATTTTCATGCTACAAACTTATATTCTCTAGAAAACTATATTCTCTCTTCCTTAGCAGACTTTATGATGAAAAAGTGGCCAAAAATATCACACTAAGTAAAATTTCTTCCAGGTGTCTTCATTCCTTTTGTCTTACTCCATACAGTTGTTTTAGGTGGTTTCTTCATACACAAATGCCTGGTTTCTCTATTGCTTGGAATTTCTCTCTTTAATTTCTTCATGAAAGCCCTTTACTGGATACATTTTTGCTTTTTTTAAAGATCAACCTGATGAAAGAAAAGAGAGTAGTATTTTATTTTTACCATGAGCCTGTTATTTTCTATGGAGACTATTTTTGTTGAATTCATATAAGATTCCATCAGGCATTTTTCCCATATAACAGCTTAGTGAAATTACTGGAGAATAAAAATTGGGGTTACAGGCCAGGTGCGGTGGCTCACACCTGTAATCCTAGCACTCTGGGAGGCCGAGGCAGGCAGATTGCTCAAGGTCAGGAGTTCGAAACCAGCCTGAGCAAGAGAGAGCCTGAGCAATAGAAAGAAATTAATTGGCCAACTAACATATATATAGAAAAAATCAGCCAGGCATGGTGGTGCATGCCTGTAGTCCCAGCTACTTGGGAGGCTGAGGCAGTAGGATTGCTTGAGCCCAGGAGTTTGAGGTTGCTGTGAGCTAGGCTGATGCCACGGCACTCACTCTAGCCTGGGCAACAAAGCAAGACTCTGTCTCAAAAAAAAAAAAAAAAAAAATGGGGGTTATTTTTGCCCTATAAAAAATACTTCACTGTGAATCCATTTTGTTTTATTTTGTTAAAATTTCATTTTGGATTATTGTGCAAGTCTGATATTATCAAATTTTTAGTTTTGCTGTCTTTATGAATTACTTATGACTCCAGATTGCAAGTTAAGCAAACAAATAACAAAAAAGGTCAAGATGTTAAGCAAGCTAATGTAATTATTATCACATGCAATAAAGTTGAAGCTGAAAAGGAACTGACAGTTTATTCAAGTCCAGCCAGATGACAAAATTGAGCTCCAGAGGGGGCAGTTGGCTTGCTGAAAGCCATGGAAGTAGATACAGTCATAGCCAGACTTAGAACTACAGACTTTGCCTCTTTCATTTTCCTTCCATTATACCATAAGGTTTCTTTTCTAAAAATGCATGTCCCATCAAGGAGGTGCTACTTTTCATACATATTCTTAGGAAAATTTAACATCACTGTCATTCTCCACTCTTAAACTAGTTGTATAATTTTGACATTTTTATTTAGGTTTCCCACCACAATATGCATAGTTGGAGGTCAGTAAGAATTAATAAAATAATAGCTGACATTCATTGAGCATCTCTTGTGTCTTAGGCAGTGCTGAGCACTTTTACATCTATTTCTAATCCTCGACACAATATTACAAAGATGGTGGTATCACCATCTACAAATGAAGCAATTTGGCAGAGATTATAAAGCTAGCAGGTAACAGAACTCAGATTAAATACAAGACTGCCTGTTTCTAAAACTGCCTATGCTCTGAAACTGGGCTTTAAGAGTTATCAGAAAATAAATTGTTTAGAGATGCTAATCTGCAAAATGATCCATTAGTCAAAAATTTAAAACATTGTTTAATGGTCATTTAATGCAGCCCATCAACTCATAATTGAACCAAGACTAGACTGAATTCTTGTTATTTTAAAATCAAGCGTTTGAAATTCTTTATATTTTATTTTCTTTGTTCTGGAACTAATTTAGAAGCCATACATAAATTGACAAGCTATGCAACTGGCAAACTGATTGTTACATAATATAAAGGTGTATTGAAAAATTAATCCTCAGAACAGTATGACAGCCCCAAAGAATGAAAATGTGAGGTGATTATCTAACAAAAATCATATGAATTTTAGTGGGTGGACGACCTAAAATAAGCAAAAGGACTCATTCTTCATATTTTTATGTAAATCCTTCACTGAAATTTCATTTGAGTAGCCCATAATTGTAGGAACTGTAGAAGGAACTGGAATCCTGAAAAATCAGTTTATGATTTAGGTAAATATTCCCTTAGGTTGGATGTTTCATACTTTATGCCTCTAACAGAAAGATAAAGTCATCCTAGAAAAATGATGGATTTAAAATATAAACATTTTATAGTGTCTCTCCTCATGTAATGTTTCCATAAGCACTAGAACCTCAGCTGATTATAAGTCTGTTTAAGTCTTCTCACCTCTTGTGAGTTCTCAGCACCTGAGCATTTTTATTAAGCAGAGGATGTATTACTACATAATAGAAATGTTGAAATTAGATCATTTTAGGAGCATATCATTTGAAACTAACCTGGATCGCTCAAAGACAATTGCTTGAGAAGCTCACTTGAATGTATATCACACTGCAGAAATAAAACAAATACCCAAATGGAAACTTAACTGAAATGGGGGAAAGAATGCAGTCTGTAGGTATTAAAACTTTGCAGAATGTTAGACTGCAAGTGATTTGCCCTTAACCTGCAAGGATACCTTTATCACCTCAGGATATCTTAAAGTCCCTTTTGTCATTTCCTGATAGAATTGCAAGTCTAATGCCACGGAAAACACGACCTTCCTTTTTTCTCTTGAGCAGCAAAGAGCAACCACTACCTGAGGAAAGCATTGGATCTTTCCCAGCACCAGCTAGGGACCACGAAGCAGGAGGGAATCTCTCATTCTGGCCGGATGCCCCTTATGGCAGGACATAGAGCACAGGATAAAGTACTCAAAAAGGAAAATGCCGGGGGCGTGGAAGAGATAACTCAGCTTCGGGCTATCTGCAAAATTATAATGTTCAGGAACCCAAAATCACATTTCCCGAAAAAGGTAAAGAAGGAAAAAAGCCACGACGACCTGTGCTTCTAGGACAAGCTGTAACCCAAAGAGGATAGATACGTGGGCAAACCTGATGAAAGTCGCCCTGGCAGGAGATTCCTGCAGACAAACGACCTCGGGGATTCTTACTCTCGGCCATCTCAGGATGCCCGGACTCCCGCGTGTCAAGCGGGCACATCCTGCCCACTCCGCTGCCCAGGCGGCCAGCGGGCCAGACGCCGCTGCGGACCCTCCTCCCCCTGCCTTCACTTACCAAGGGCGCCGGGGTCCCTGCTCCCGAGGTTGGGGCGCGCTCGCAGGGCCGGAAGCCCAGGCATGGGGGAGCCACGGTTGCACGGGGAGCAAGCCTCTCTCTGCAGGAGACCGCAACCAGGCTGCGCCCCCTCCCCAGCAGCGCGGGGACGGACAGCCAGCGGCGCCAATGCGAGCGGAGCAGGCGGGCCGGGGGCGGGGCGACCGGGAGAGGCAGGAGACGGGGCGGGGACCCGAGACCCACCTGCGAGCGATTTGCCCTGCCGCGTGGGAGCAGAACTCCGGTGCTCCTCGTCTGGCGCGCGAATCCCCACGGTGGCATCACATCAGGGCGGGGGGCCACTGAGAGAGAGCGGGCCGGAATGTGGGGAGGGGACGAGGGGAACGAGCCCCGCATTTTCTAAGACGCAAAATAGCGAAGTCCAGTTTTAAATGATAGGCATTCCAATTACTAATCTCCCCTCTTCCCCCTCAGAATTGTTAAAGACATGGAAGATACCAAATTTTAAAAGCAGGCTTCAAAACGGTACATAGAGTAGTGAGGTCACGTTTGTTTGGAGAGAAGATTACGTATATGAATGGAAACAGAAAGAAACCTAACTTTCCCAGGAATGGGTTTGTGTGTAAGGTTATCTGGTTCGTTGCCAAACAGACTCTCAGACCCTTTTCTCCCAGTAGGAGGCAGGTGGAGAGTCTGCATGCAGAAATCTGTGGTCTGCAAGAGCAAGGGCATCCTTGCGAAAGGTGAGAAGGGCACAGGAACCCAGCTCCATACCTTACATATTTCCAAAAATAAGTTGAAGTAGCTTATAAATTACCCATGTTTCCCTTTAGGACATTCCTAGATACCCACGTGACCTTGTCCCTCTCTGGCTGGGGTGGGGAACAGAAGACATTGCTCACAATGCCAGTCTCACAGCAAAAGGCACAGGCACAATCTACCCTGCCTGATTGGCTAGGTTGTATATTTTCTGAGCCTTTATTTAAACCAGTTGCTAGCCATAGTGAAAAACACCACAAGTATTTATTTGTACACATAAAGCATTAATGTAGCCCAGTGAAATGTGTTGCTATCAGAGTTCAGTGAGGTTTGCTTGGGCTTAATATTATACCCGAGAGCATTCCTGGGAGCTCCAGCTGTGAGGTCCAGTAAGATTCATCACAATCCCAGCCCCCTCCTCTGGCCCCTCTCAGCACAGCTTCCAAGTGAAAAACCTGGTAAGGTGGAGTGAAGAACTACTGAAAGGCAGCTGCACTCATTTCCTTTCTTTAATAGGATCATGGTCTTGGGAGAGTAAATCTCAGATATCCATCTTTGGATGTTGTTCCAGGAACATATTTTACCTTTGTAAGAGTCTGTAGTTTCCACTGAGACGTATTAAGGAAAGAACTCTTGGGACACAAAAGCAAAGCAGAATCTAAGTTGTCAAGATCTTAAATTTCCAGATAAAAGAGACAAGAGTTGTAACAGGAAACTCTATAAACATCTAGTTTAGTTGCAACTAAGAATTCAATTTAGCTTTGTTCATTCAGCAAACACAGGTCTGTGAAAATGTCCTTTATGGCTTGCAACCCATATGGGAAATTCCCATATGGGTTGCAAGCCCTGCTTGTTGCCATTTTTGAACTTTAAACAAGCCAAAGCCACTTGTTGTGATCCAAGGTTTCTCAAACCTAGCATACCTGAGAGTCTGCAATCATTTCAGGAAAAAATAAGATGAGTGTATCTAAGTGAGGACAAGGTAGTGAGGACAGTCTTATTAGAAATTAGTGGAAAAGGAAGTAAGGTACAGGTTAAAACAGTAAGGGCCACTTTAATGACTTGTAGATTTTATTCTACCTCCTTTTCTTTAAAAAACAAAAATTAGTGAAAGGGAAAGGGAACTGAAAGTTTAAGAGGTGAATTTATTTTGTATTTGAAAGGCAAATTAAGATAGATTTCTTTAAGGTATATTACAAATAACTCCTTCTTGACCTCTACCACACTCTTAGTCACTCACACACAGAATGTACTATAAATAAAATACTGCACTGTGGTTTTTCTTTAGGATATGACTAGAACCTAATGCCATATCTGTGTGTTTTCTTTTTTAATGTATCCAGTACTTTATGCATGAAAGAAAGCTGTCATTCTTGAACTCACTTAAATGACAGATAAGGCTGTTTAAGCAATTACCCATATCATTGTCTACTACTCCATTAGTAGCTTTTCATTATATAATAGGAAACAGGCTATAAATATCGCTCTGATCTGATGAGAAATTATCCTACCTACAGCTTATCTTGTTAATATCACCAGATGCAGTGTGCCAGTAAAATAGCTTACATATTTATCTGAACAATACTGATCATATTATTTATCCTATCTTGATCCCTATCCACCCACAGCCTGGGCCTGTAGCTAACTGCAAAAATGGTTTATAAGTCCTTGTCAATAATTCCTACATTTCAGAGGCCCTCTGGGAATAAGCCCTTCAACCCCCTTCCCTGGTACACTGTTAAATGAACCTGTGGCTCCAGCTCTTTGGTAGCTGGATCTGTTCCTGACACCATGAGGGTTGCATAGAGCCAACACAAACTCAACAGTATTTGTCTTGTAATGTTTTGCTCAGTAGCACAAAAACGCTGCTGTTTCTTGAATTAAGAGTGTATGTACATCTTGGCCAGCCACGGTGGCTCACGCCTATAATCCTAGCACTCTGGGAGGTCAAGGCGGGAGGATCGCTTGAGCCCAGGAGTTTGAGGTTGCTGTAAGCTAAGCTGACACCACGGCGCTCTAGCCTGGGCAAGAGTGAGGCTCTGTCTCCAAAAACAAAACAAACAAAAAGAGTATACATACATTTTTAATGCACAACAACAGCATCTGAGGTGCAGATCAGAGAAGGCATAATCTGTTAATCAGTAATACTACTAATATAGGGAGGGCAGGCATTAGCAGCCCGGAGAAGGGTAAGAATGGGCATGGATGGCCAGTGATCTGGAGGCACTTACAGCCTCATGGTAAAGACACTGGACCTTCTCTGGGGCATATAATAGGCACCCCAAGGACTAATGCTTCTGTAACTCTTTAATACAGGTCTTCAATTAGCCTGCAGTTATTTTGTTCTTTATGCCTTCTTTCATTACGGAAATAGCACCAGTGAGGTTGTACTGTGACACCTCTTCTTTATCAAAGATGGAAGAATAAGTCCACAAAACCTATGCCATCAAGATTGCTCAGCAGCCTCCCTGCCTCTTTATTTCTTCATTCTGTCTTCCACCTTTATGACCCCTCCCTTTTGGAGGTTTGTGAATGGGCACAGCTTTTCACCTCTTACAACCTGGCAGGAGCTGCCTTCTAGGAAGAGCGCTGAGAGGCAGAACGATGGTAAGAACAGAGGCTTCTGAATGATCTTATAAGTTCATCTTGAAGCTAGAGTTCACCCTTTGAGCAATTCCATTGATAGGAATTTTTCCTATAGATACTTCCACACAAGTTGCAAAGATACATATGAGAATTGTGTGTCCTCTGCTAATTGCTATTCACTGCTACATTATTTGTATTTAATAATAGCAAAAACCACGAATCAATTGTTAGTGTCTATCAAGAGGACTCTATACATACAGCACAGCCACAAGAAACAAGATGGACCTAAACTGATGTAGTAAGACTTCCAAGATATATTGCTAAGTGGGAAAAGTTGTACTGTTTGGAGTTTTACTGAAGGTATGTTTTACTTTGACTAGGACAATTCTTGCATCAGTGATGGCCCATTCATTCCAAGCAACTACTGATAAAAACCAATTTTGGATTAATTGTATTTGGGCTTTCTTTATACCTTTGGCTATATACTCTCATTTCTCCTTTTACCCTCTCCCCCGACTTGTGTTCCCTATTCCTACCAGCATTAAGGATTAAAATCCATAGGGCTTTTGGTGATATAAGGTTAAATATTTTTTTTTTTTGAGACAGAGTCTCTCTCTTGCTTTGTTGCCCAGGCTAGAGTGAGTGCCGTGGCGTCAGCCTAGCTCACAGCAACCTCAATCTCCTGGGCTCAAGCAATCCTGCTGCCTCAGCCTCCCGAGTAGCTGGGACTACGGGCATGCGCCACCATGCCCGGCTAATTTTTTCTATATATATATTAGTTGGGCAATTAATTTCTATTTATAGTAGAAATGGGATCTTGCTCTTGCTTGGGCTGGTTTTAAACTCCTGACCTCGAGCAATCCGCTTGCCTCAGCCTCCCAGAGTGCTAGGATTACAGGCGTGAGCTACTGCGCCCGGCCAGAAGGCTAAAATTCTTTAAGATAATCTTGAAGTCACCATGTCTTATAAGACTGCTTCCTTCCCTTGTCCACTAACTGAATTCCCAGCAAGTCCCATTCCAGATGAGGTTTTGTGGGACATTTAAATATTGGAAACAATGAGCTCTGTGCAAACAGGGCCTGAATGATGCTTTAGAACAGGAATTGATAACACTGAGTGCTTATAATACCAGGCACTGTGCAAGGCATCCTAGGTGACTTGTATGCTGAACTTCACAACCAGCCTCAGTGTCCTTACTTCCATGGTGAAGTAAAGTTGAGTGAGGCTCTAAGTGGTAGAGCTGGGGTTCTGCATCACGCCCCCTTGCCATATGCCTCCCAAAGTGCTGCAATCATTTCTCTGGACTGTAAAAGTGGCTGTATCATAACACTGATGCGAACCCAGGGGATGAGAAATAATAAAACTGATGGCATGGGAAAATACTGCTCTGTCAACATCAGCAGTGTTTGGCACTGGCACCAGCGGTGGTCTACCATCCTCTGGAAGGATCCAGGGAGGAAGACAGAAGGAAAAGGGAAGAGAAAAAAATGGGAGAGGAAGAACAGAGATAAAAGAACAAAAGGAGAAGGGAAAAATATTTTAGGGGAAAAAAAAGCATTCTGTAGGGAGGAGTAGAGCCCTAGCATCTAGTAGAAGCTCAATAAATTTGTTGAACTAACAGAGTAAAGGCTAACCTAAAGTTACTGCTATGTGAGCATATTTCTTGAGATGCTTTAAAAATGAATGGAACTAAAGCCGAGATAGAAATGGGAATTCCAAGGAAGTTCAAGACAAAAACCTGTATAATCAATACTTCCACAGGCTAAAAAAAAAAAAAACAAAAAACCCTCAAAACAATATACAAGGTACAAGATAAAAAGGCAAGTCTGTCCATACCCTCTTCCACCACAACCCACTCAACATCTCCTGAATTAGGTGTCCTCCCCAAAATACATAACATAAGCATGATGCACATGTTTTCTCCCTGCTCCCCTTCTTTTTTAGTGACAGGGTCTTGTTCTGTCACCCAGGCTGTAGTGCAATGGCACGATCATAGCTCACTGTAACCTCAACTTCCTGGGCTCAAGTGATCCTCCTGTCTCAGCCTCCTGAGTAGCTGGGACTACAGGTGCACACCACCACACCTGGCTAATTTTTTTTTTTTTTTAATTTTTTTTTTGTAGGGATGGTGTCTCACTGGTATTGCCCAGGATGGTCACAAACTGTTTTCCCCTTTAAACACGACAGTATTATAAAGTGCATATCACAACTTGCTTCTTCAGCCCCAGGGGTCTGCCACACAAATGGGCTCACACAGGATGGCAGAGACACTGCAGCACAGTCTGTTAACGCTATCATTCATATTTCAACACCAAGATAGCAAAATTATTTCCCTTTATTCTGTGGATCTTCACTAACGTAAATAGAAATGTGCATGATTCATGTTAATTTATACATGATGATGAGAATTAAGGCTTCTTGAGAAACTCCCACTATATATTTCAGAAGATCTTCAGGAAAGGGGCTGACTTGTCTTGACTAACTCCCAGTGGGCCTGAAGAGATACTGGCCAGACTTTCAAAGTAGCTCCTTGAAAATAGACTGATCTGGAAGGAAAAACAAACAAAAAATAAATGTTTTCTCTAAGCAGTGAAATGTTTCCTCTTCCCTTCCACACTGCACCATTACCCCCTCACATTGCCAAAGCAGTAACATTTACATCCTTTCCTACCACCAACTCTTCTATGGTCTGTCTGTAAATGGACTTGAAAACAGTGCACAGTATTTATATGATAGCTGTGTGAATAGGGGCGGACTGCATTTCCAGCATCACATATACCTCTTGGGAACAGTGTCTCTCTAGCATCTGGCACACAAAAGCTCTCTTCTTACCATCTTTTCCATTGCTTAAATCATTACCAGTTTGCTTCTACCTGGACCTTTACTTTCTCAAACAATGCAAGAGCTTCTGTTTTGTATTATTTACCCATTGATACCCTTGTCTTTTCTAGCTTTTTCTAATTTTTCTCAAGCCCCTCCTCCAAGTTCCACACTAGATTTTTAATTCTAGGCCATTTGCATGGTTGTCAACTCCCCTTCATTACTGTCCAAATCAGGATTCAGTTTCCCAACACCCACGTCTTCCTTCTTCCTTGGCTTCTGCACTTTGCTGGAGCACATTGCTAAATAACTTCCTAGGAACAGATGTGGGAGAAGCAAAGCTTTGCATGTCTGAAAACATCCGGATGGATTTGGCTGGGTGTAAACACAGGGTAAAAGTCACCTTTCCCTGTGAACTTGGGGGACATTCTTCCATTTTCTAAAAGCCTTATTGCTGATAAGACAGATGTTCAGTCTAATTCTCATTTTTTCATAGGCAAGTTATTTTTTTCTTCTCTAGAAAAGGAGGTTTAGGATTTTCATGTTTCATGCTTTTGAAATTTCCACTGGATATGTCTAGAGATGGCTCATTCACTGTGATGGGTACTCTGGCCCTTTCAACTAAGACCAAGAATTCCTAGACAGTCTTGTTTCCTTCTCTTTCCTACTTTCCCTTCTGTCTATTCAGAGTATACAGACTTTCAGCGTTGTGACCAGTGTGTCACCGACTCTGAACCCTGAGCTTCTTGGAGCTCTAGCAGCGGGAGCCTAGCCTCCTCTGCAGCACCTTCTGAATTTTCCTAGCTTTAGTTTGCGCCATATAATTCATAAATGCTACTTAGGGAAGAAGTAAAACTCTTACCTAGTGACAACTTACCTGTTTAGAACAGTCCATTCACCTGCTCAGTTTCGGGGTCCAAATCAATATCATAAAAGCAGGGCCGGGTAGGGAGTCCAGGCATTGTGCTCATCTAGCATGTAAAACACATTAAAAATAATGTGACCTTTTCTCCCACCTTCTCATCAGATAGAAAGCCCAAGGCATGAAAATAGAACATCATTTTAGAGTTGTCAATAAAGCGGGCACTCTTCTTGTTACATATTAAAAATCATATCACATTACATATTAAAAATCAAGTCACTGATCCTGTTATGAACTCAGAGAAACCTCATGTTCTTCTGCAAACCAAATGCCAGCCTTCACTATTGTCTTCTATAATTGATGGTTACTCACCTCCGCGGTCTATATTTCATAAGACCAAAAGAAAGTGTGGGGCTTGTCTGCTTTTAAATTTTGTTTCTGTGAGTCTTGCTAGGTGCCCATGTGTTTTTGCTTCAGCAATGTGACATTAGAAATTAGTATCCTGGCTGGGCGTGGTGGCTCACGCCGGTAATCCTAGCACTCTGGGAGGCCGAGGTGGGCAGATTGCTCAAGGTCAGGAGTTCGAAACCAGCCTGAGCAAGAGCAAGACCCAGTCTCTACTATAAGTAGAAAGAAATTAATTGGCCAACTAATATATATAGGAAAAAAAAATTAGCCAGGCATGGTGGTGCATCCTGTAGTCGCAGCT